GAGAGGGAACACAAGCAGGGGGAGTGGGAGAGGGAGAAGCAGGCCTCCTGCCAAACAGGGAGCCCCATGTGGGGCTCAATCCCAGGACCCCGGGATCATGACCTGAGCCGAAGGCAGACGCTTAACAACTGAGCCACCCAGGGGCCCCAAGTTTTTCATTTCTTATAAACTGAAACATATGCATATCAGACGACCCAGCATTTCTCCTCTAAGTATTGGGAAATGAACATCTGTCTTTACAAAGACTTTATGTGAATTTTCATAGCAGCTTTATTCATAATTGTCAAAAACTAGAAACAACCCAATGTTCATTGACTACTTGTGAATTAATAAACAAATGTGGCACATTCCACACAATGGAATACTACTGAACAATAAAAAGGAATGAACTGCTGATATACACCAAAATAAGGATGAATCTTAAAAACATTCTTTTTTTTTTTTAGATTAATTTATTTTAGAAGGAGAGAGAGCAAGCAAGTGTGCAAGCGAGTGAGCAAGCGTAGGAGTGGGGGAAGGGCAGAGGGAGAGGCAGAGAATCTCAGATTTACAAACCTTTCTCAGTATTTGACATTGTATGAGTATATTTTTCTGTGTCAAATACCCCATAGTAAAATATTAAGAAGTTGATTCTAAAACACGGGCACCAGGGTGGCTCATTTGGTTAAGCGTCTGCCTTCAGTTCAGGTCTTGATCCCAGGGTCCTGCTCCCCTGCTCAGCAGGGAGCCTGCTTTTCCCTCTCCCTCTGCTGCTCCCCCTGCTTGTGTGCTCTCTCTCTGTCAAATAAGTAAAATCTTAAAAAAAGATTATTCTGAAACAATCATTAATATCTGTTCTTCATTTCAGTAAGATCCTTTATTTTGACTCACTCACTTGCAAAAAATGATCCTGTTTTGAGATCGCAATTGAACATTATGAATATTATTTAATTTTATTGGGATTTTTTTTTTTCTTGAAGGTTTTATTTCTTTGTGAGGGCAAGCGTGTGCACGCATGAGCGGGGTAAGAGGCAGAGGGTGAGGGAGAGGGACAAGCAGACTCCCCACTGAGTACAAAGCCCAATATAGGGCTCCATCCCAGGACCCTGAGATCATGACCTGAGCTGAAGGCAAACGCTTGACTGACAGAGCCACCCAGGTGCCCCTTATTGGGATCTTTTTAATATGATTCTTTTTTGCTTAAAGTATTTTGTGTTTTTGCCATTTGATTAAGTCTTTACTTGGCACCAGAAACCTAATGATTTACGAGTATAATTTGGAAGTTTCCAGCTGACTCACCAAGATTCAATAGTTATGACGTATCAAAGTGAGATGTCAGACAAAGATGTAAGTGGTTTCGTAACTATAAAGACTTCATGTTTATCAAAGCTATGTGAATTGGGTTGTTGGATTTTGGGGGAGAATTGCTTTGACGAGGACTGCTATTGTGCTATGAATCCCTATAGCCACCCCAACTGGGAATGGCTTCTGCCTTTTTCCTCAAGCCTAGTGAAAGAGGTTTCCGCAGGATTCAAGAGAGCTTGATATGGGTCCCCTGCAATAAGGGGGGCATAGTGGATTGGTGTCCTGCCTTCTGACCAAGAAGTCTTGAGGACAGAGATGAGTCTGTAACCAAAGCAGCCAGGTAGCCTGAGAGCCTAGCTGATGCATTGGGATCATTGTGTGCTCCTTGGGTTTGTTAGTTTGTGATCCAGATGGGTTGAGAGAGGAAAAACCAGTGGGTAAATTGGTGGATGAGTGGGTGGATTCTCTTAGAACTTGTCCAGCAGGGCCATCTTGAGGGGCAAATAGGCTTCCCTTGAGGACAGGCTGTCAGTGGACCACCGGATTCCTTCATGTCTGAGGAGGGAGTAGTCCAGTGCTGGAAGAGCATGCATTAGCCGGGTCAAGGGATCTGTAAGTGAGAAGCCATCATTATTTGGGGTGGAGTGGGGGGTAACCAGAAGAACCCTTTAAGGACCCATTGAGGAAAAGCATCTCTTTAAAATCTGCTAGTCCCAGAGACTATGAAGTCACGTGAGGACTCTGCTTGTCTAGTAAGAACCTTTGGACTTTTAAGTTTCCTGTCCTTCCTCCCTTTCTACTTCAGCCCTGGAGGGGGTCAAAAATGGCATCTAGCCCAGGGCTTAGTAAGAAAGGAGAGGAGTCCAAAAACCAGGCCAGGGCACCCTTTGCAGGCAGGCAGCTACCTCCATTGTGCCCCAGTGTAGGTGGAAAGGATTGGAACTGTGGAGTGGAGACTTTGGCTCTTATCACTTGGGTCTAGAGACTCCTGTTCTGAAATACAGCTTGCAGCCTTGCATCGCAGCTTGTACTTGCTGTTGCTATGCATGGAATGCTCCTCGCCCAGGGGTTTCCACGCCTGGACCCCCTTAGGGTCTTTGCTCACAGGTTACCTCAGTGAGTCCTTCCCTGACTGCCCTTTCATAATTCAGATCACCCACCCTGTTCGCCAAGCTTTTTCCCTGTTTTATCTTTCTTGATATTATTCATTATGTATTATATCATGTCACCGTTTTGGTGTTAGAGTGTTTGTCCCTTTCTCAAATACAAATTCTGCGGAGGGCGGGGCTTTGTTGTTTTCCCCCTGCTTGTCCCCCGCACGCAGAACAGTAGAATGTATTCATGCAACAAATATTAATTATGAAATTGAGACTGTGTTGTGACTTACAGAGGAATTAATAGATTTACTTATGAGTATGCCCCGAGTCCTATTCCTTCAACATACTTCCAACAAAGTATTCCTTTTGCTTTTTCTAAACAGCTTTATTGAGATATTTATATGCTATATAATTCGCCCATTTAAAGTGTACAATTCAGTGGCTTTTAGTATATTCACAGAGTTTTGTGACCATCACCACAATCAATTTTAGAATACTTCCATGACCCTGAAGAGGAACGCTGCACTCCTTAGTTATCATCTCTCCCATTCCTTCCGCAGCCCTGGAAACCGACTCATCTACTTTCTCTCTGCCCACATTTGCTGACTCTGGATATTTCATATAAATGGAATAATATCGTATACGGTTCTTGGTGACTGTCTTTCACTTTACATAATCTTTCCAAGGTTCATACGTGTTGTAGTGTGCATCAGTATCTTCTGTTGATGGCTAAATAATATTCTATTGTTTGAATATACCATATTTTGTTTATATATTTACCTGTTGATGGATGGACTTTTGGGTTGTTTCCCCTTTGGGGCTATTAGGAATAATATAATTCACGTACAAGTTTTTGTGTGGATGTATGTTTTCTTGAGTTTGTATCTAGGAGTGGAATTGCTGGGTAACATGGTGACTCTACATTTAACCTTTTGAGGAATTGCCAGACTGTTTTCCAAAGTGGCCACGCCATTTTATGTTCCCACTGCAGCATATGAGGGATCCAGTTTCTCCACATAACTTGCTAATACTTGTTATCCAACATTTGTTTTCTGTTTTTAATTTTAGTCATCCTAGCAGATGTGACATGGTATCTTTCAGTTTTGATTTGCGTGTATCTAATAACTAACGATGTTGAACGATGTTGAACATCATTTCATGTCACGACTGCCATTTTTCAATCTTCTTTGGAGAAATGTCTATTCAGATCTTTTGCCTATTTTATTTTATTTTTTTTTAAGACTTTATTTATTTATTTGACAGAGGGAACACAAGCAGGGGGAGTGGGAGAGGGAGAAGCAGGCTTCCCGCAGAGCAAGGAGCGTGATGCGGGGCTCGATCCCAGGACCCCGGGATCATGACCTGAGCCAAAGGCAGACGCTTAACGACTGAGCCACCCAGGCGCCCCTTTCTTTTGCCTATTTTAGAAAATTGAGTTGTCTCGTTATTGTCCTTTGCTCTCAGACAAGGATCTTTTTTCTTGATTCTGGTTTTCTCCCCTCTTCCTCTTCAGGTGGAAGAAGTGAAGCGACGGCAGCACTCCCTTGCATTCAGCTCAGCCGGAGCCCAAGCTCAGACCTATCATGTCAGCTTTGAGACGTTGGCTGAGTGCCAGAGATGGCAGCGACAAGCATCCAAGGTGATAAGCTGTCGGACGTCCTGATGTGGGGATAAGACTGTAAAAGCCCATGAGAGATGTAGTTTGAAACCGAACTTGCTCCCAGGAGAGTAAACTATAATTTTTATGCATCTTACTTTAGGCCCCTCTAAGTATATAATGCATGAAATAATGGAACTCCAGCAGGTCCTTAACTTATCATTTATATTTGTGTAGTACGGAAAGCTTTCAAAAGTGTTTGCAGGTGCATTTACCTTTATACCATCTCTGTGAGAAGACTATGGCCTTGAAGGAATTAGGACACAATGAGATTCACATGACTTTCTGTCAACCACTGTAGTCAGTGAGAGATGGCGCCGTTCCCTAATTCCTAGCCTAGTGCTTCTTGGTCTTGTATATATTTAGCACGGCTGTGATGAACCACTTTAAATTTGAACTTATTATGGAATGTGACCTGTGTTCCTGTATGCTGAGGATAATTAGCTTTTCAGCATAATTTCTGCTTTTTTAGTCTTTAAAGATGAAGTGCTCTAAAATTGTGTTGGCAGTTTCTGAATTCTCTTGTTCTTCTAGCTATCTGCAGAATTTTAGCACATTTTTCTTTGCAGAGCTAAACAGTTGCATAAAGGATTGTTTTGGTATAATGAGATGCCATAAAACATGAATGACTTTTCCGTGGCATTTAGTTTGGTTTTTAGACCAATTTCCACAACCTTTCTTTATGAGCATACTATTATAGAAATATAAACTTGTTTTGGTTTTATTGAATTTTCTGTACATACATTGTAGTGGTAATAAAATCTCTTCTGAATAAAACTAGTTTCAGTTTTAAGTAGCTATTCCATTCTTTTGACCTTATAAAGAGAAGTATTTTTTGAGCGCCTTGTGCATACTAAGGAGTGTGCTATGTGCTGGGGTATTAAACTTTATCCTCACAACAGATGAAGCAACTGCACTGATAAGTAGCAGAGTCCGTGTAGATGGAAAAGGCCATGGCTTTCCATATCACACTGCCTGCCCGAGTTTTGTATGGTTATTTTGAATCCTCTCAACTTCTTGCATGAAATGTTAACTTTCCATCTTTATGATTTGTATTTTTTTACTTTTTACTTATAGACACTTTAAAACTTACACTGTTGCATGTTTCAAGCAGCTTATGGTTTTAGGAAAAAGCAAAAATGAACTGGTTTTTATAAATGAATAATTGGATCTCATTACCTTTTTCTCCTTCGCATTTTTAAAATTAGCGCCTTTTTGTGTAAATGTCATTCCTTCCTGTGCTGGGTGAGAGACATTTGGTGCTAGCTCAGATGGCTCTTCTCCTTGACCCCATTCAGGTGGTGTCCCAGCGAATCAGCACTGTTGACCTGTCCTGTTACAGCCTTGAGGAGGTTCCTGAGCATCTCTTCTACAGTCAAGATATCACCTACCTCAATTTGCGACACAACTTCATGCAGTTGGAAAGACCTGGGGGCCTTGACACTCTTTACAGGTATGTGGGGAATGGATTTCCTTACTAACTTATTCAAACCAAATCGTGATCACCGTCTTAGTCGTTTGTACCTGGAAGTGAGCATGCTTACCATTGTATATATATATTTGAAAATTTCCCCTCCCATTTTGAAGAGGAAGTAAAATTTTTTATTCATAGTTTTCTTACCCCCTTTCTTACCCCCTTTTCTCCTCCATGAGACAGAAGATAAATGCAAATGTTCTATTCTGGAGGCAACGTTGAGCTGCCATCGATCTGGATAATCTTGTTACATAAGTCACTGACAGTGATGTATGATCTGAAGCCAGGGTACATTGGGAGATTGAGTATATGGCAAGTTTTTGAATCATAAGTGTCAAACTTAAATAGCTTAAAGGAAATAGGCCTAATTTCAAGAATTCCACTCCCAGGTTGGGGCTTTTATCTTTCCTGTGTACCTGCTAATGCTAGCTTCTGAGCTGTTTGACAGCTGTGAAACCTCTCTCTTCTGATAAAGGAACCGTTTCACTCCTAAGGGACTATGGCCCATATATTTTCCAATTTCCTTGTTAGAATATATTCTCCCTTCCAACCCTCCATCCTTTAAAAGTGGATGGAAGTAAGTATTTAGTATAAGTAATCGTGTGGGCTTCTTGTGAGCAGGGGAGAAATTGGAAATTAAAGCATTCAAATTAAGTGGTGATTAAAAAGATAATACACATTGTGGGGCGCCTGTGTGGCTCAGTCAGTTAAGTGTCTGACTTCAGGTCAGGTCATGATCTCAGCGTCCTGGGATTGAGCCCTGTGTTGGGTTCCGAACTCACTGGGGAGTCTTCTTGTTCCTTTCCCTCTTCCTCTGCCCCTCCCCCAGTCGTGCTTTCTCTTGCTTGCTCTCTCAATAAATGAATAAAATTTTTTTAAAAAAGATAATATACATTGAAATTACATATTTTACTTAATAACTAATATTTCTAAAATAATTTTGAGAAAGCACTGTGATTTTTGTCCCATATGATGTGTTTTACAAAGCTTTTTAGGTATAAGCAAGCCTCCATCTAGTAATGAGATAATAATTTTAATTATATTAGTATGTAAAAACAATAGAAGTTATAATTTTAAGGAAGTGGGTTTCTAGCATTTTCTTCTCAGTCACTATGAAAATAGGGTTCATGTAGTTTGAGGGCTGGATTAGGAATTCTGAAGTCAAGACACCAAGCCAAAGGAACAATCAGTACTCAAGGTCAGGACAATTGGAAATCAAAAGTTGAAAATTTGAAAGAGGAGCATTAGAGTGAGGTACCAATGACTCCAGTCTAGAAGCAGGTGGTAGAGATCATCATCGTGGAAAGCACCACCTCAGCTTACCCTCTTGCACTAGTATAATCATTAGTATAATACTCCTAAGTAGAATTACCAGTGTGATTCCTGTTGATCCAGTGTATGATGGTACTGTTTCTGGTAAGACGGTATAGATACTTTTACTTCTAGGAACAAAACAGAAGCACTAAAAATTACTATTTCATGTTCTCTATTAGATTGTATTGCAGTAAAACTCCATATCACATACATATTTGTAGGTTCTAAGTGTCCCATTCATTTCAAGTGACATTTGAGCCGATATAATTTCAATATGTAAAAAGAAGTTGCTTATAATGGGATTTGGTGTGCATTTTTGTTAGTTCTTCCTGTGTTCATGAGTTGATGAATTGTTACAAGGTTTTTTATATTGCATATAGAAATTTGATGAAGGAAGAGATTTCAAGCATATCAGTATAACTAGATATAAAATACTTATACCAGCATGAGCTTTTTAAGATTTTGCACCTTTTTAAGGAGAAGAGAGAAGAACTCCCATTGCCCTAGACCTGATTTCCTTGTTGGTATGGAGCTGGGGTTAGGCATCTTAGTGTTCTGTGCTGTGCACAATGTTTGGCGTGTAGTGAGTGCTCATAGATATTTGTGGAACAGATTCTACAGTGGACATTTAAAACAGATGACTTTTTCATTCAGTACTATAATTTGTATGTTTGCTTTTTAGATTTTCTCAGCTAAAGGGCCTGAACTTGTCCCATAATAAACTTGGGTTGTTTCCTGTATTGTTATGTGAGATTTCTACCCTGACTGAGCTGAACCTCTCCTGTAACGGATTTCATGACCTGCCAAGTCAGGTTGGCAGTCTACTAAAGTAAGTATGTGACTTTTGCTAGACTCATTTTTTATTTGCAGCATAAGGAGCTTGTCTGGCATTTGGAATGAACGTCGCATGAGCTCTGGCAGTGAAGTAAGTCATGTAATTATGAGGATTCTAGACAGCAGCTGTGACTTGCTTGCAGGGGCGACTACTTAGCCCCCCAGTTTCAACAGCAGAAGCTCTGACGATTTTTGATGTTGGAGGGACCATCTATGGCAGTTTTGTATGTCATTGAGTCTCTATAGATAGGCTATTTTATCATTATTGGATTCATAATAAATTAGTGATGTAAGTCAGAATCTATCCCTCTAGTTCTATCCATTCCAGTTAAAACCTTTCATGAAGTCTTGTTTTCTTACTACAGTCTTCAAACCCTCTGTCTTGATGGCAACTTTCTGACGACTTTACCGGAAGAATTGGGAAATCTGCAACAGCTTTCTTCCCTGGGAATTTCCTTTAATAACTTTAGTCAAATTCCTGAGGTTTATGAGAAACTCACTATGTTAGATAAAGTGGTGATGGCAGGAAATCGCCTGGAAGTCCTAAACCTTGGGGTGCTGAACAGGATGAGCCATATCAAACACGTGGATTTAAGGTGAGGCCATTCTTCACTGTGTCCTCCTTTAGATGGACCTCTGATGGTTTTTATGTTTTCCCTTTATAAAAACTTCTCTAAAACATTAGGATTTTAGAACAGTGTATATTTTCCAAACTATAGTAAAGCTTCATTTTTCACTCAGTAGCAGAGAGATTATGAGTGAGGTAGGTGTACCACATGATAGAGACTTTCACATTACCTTTGACAAAGGTTGTTCTGACTTACCCTCCCAGCAGCCTTTTATAGAATTCCCATTTCTTCACGTCCTTGTCAGTGTTGGATTTTAGCAGTCTTTTTCCTTATTGTCAGTGTAGTAGGAGAAAATAGTACTTCAGTGTTTTAATCAGCATTTATTTATGAGTGAGGTTGAGCATCTTTTTAATATGCTAATTGGTAAGTTTGTATTTTTCCTTACACTTGACCATTTTTCTATTGAATCATTGGGTTTCTTCTTGATATCCGTTGTATTACAATTAAAATTTTAAGGTTTTCCTGTGAAGTTTTTGTAGGTTTTATTTTCTAGTTACAATCTTTTCCTAAAGGGAACTGGTAAAAGACACATATACATAAAAGACAAATATGCATAGTGTAAATGTTCTATCATTTACACTAAGCCATTGATGTTCCTTGTAAAGAAATAGTAATGACCTGCTGAGTCAGGTTGGCAGTCTATTAAAGTAAGTACCTGACTTTTGCTAGACTCATTATTTCCTTGCAGCATAAGGAGTTTGTCTGGCATTTGGAATGAAGGTAGTCAGAAAAATTTATTGAAATACAGAGGAATAAGAACATGCCTGTGTGTTCTCTACAAGTGTAGAAGAGAACTAAGAAGCCATTTTCTTTTCTTTTTTTTTTTTTTTTTAAAGATTTTATTTATTTATTTGACAGAGAGAGAGATAGCGAGAGCAGGAACAGAAGCAGGGGGAGTGGGAGAGGGAGAAGCAGGCTTCCCGTGGAGCAGGGAGCCCGATGTGGGACTCGATCCCAGGACCCTGGGACCATGACCTGAGCCGAAGGCAGATGCTTAACAACTGAGCCACCCAGGCGCCCGAAGCCATTTTCTGTTATTCGCCCTTGAACTATTGCATATAGATACAGATTATTTTCCTCTTCATTAATTAATGTAATGTGAATCTTAGCACAAGAAAGAGTAGGTGGAGCCCCGGGAGAAAGTATGGCTGCTTCCTCTTGTTGTCTGCATGGTATACCACGACTGCTTTGCTACTCACCCGAAAGGTTATGTTCATCTTCTTGTTCATGCTTCTTCATCCCTGCCTAACTTTATTAAGTATTTGGATGTAAGTTTTTTAACAATTTGTAGGCATGGTCCCTTTTTCCTTTCTCTCTATTTAATTTGTATATGTATTTGCAAGTCTGGATTGTCTAACTTTATAAACAGAGAACTCAAGGTACAGCTCTCTGTGATTATTTACTTAATACCTTGCAAAATGAAGCAAGTAGTGAACTTTTTGAGTTGTTTAGGAAAGAGAAAGGGATCATACCTCTCTTATTTTTCTTTTGGTAAGCATATTTAGTAGAATTTATTTTTAATGATTTCCTTATTTCTGAATATTTAAGGATGAACCATTTGAAAACGATGGTTACTGAAAATCTGGAGGGAAATAAGTACATCACCCACATGGATTTGCGGGACAATCAACTGGCTGACTTAGATCTTAGCTCCTTATGTAGCTTGGAGCAGCTTCACTGTGAACGGAACCAGCTGAGAGAGCTGACACTCAGTGGCTTCTCCCTGCGAACCCTCTACGCCAGTTCCAACAGTGAGTTCTCCATCCAGCCTCCTGTTTTCTCTCTTGTAGCTCTCGTCTGAGCTTTCAAAGAACAGTGGCATGTGGTGTTGCTTAGCCACTCTGCAAAGTGTAGTTTGATGTTTATTGAGACCAGCTTTATTTTTTAAGTTTGCTGTCAACACTTAAGTGGTTGAGATATTCATAAAAAGGCATTTCAGGATACTTGGAGATTCACTAAGTGAGTATAGTAAGAGGCATTTTGCAAAATAACAAGGGATAGGAGGGTGGGCAAACATGTTCAAAATAGAGTATCAATAATAGCCTAAAACAAGGGTTGACAAACTACAGGCCAGGGACTAGATCTGGTCCACCACCTGTTTCTATATGGCCCATGAGGAAGGGGTTTTTACATTTTTTAATGGCAGGGTTAAAAAAAATCAAAAAAATAAATTTGACTTGGGAAAGTTCTATGAAATTCAAATATCAGTGAATAGAGTTTGATTGGAACATGTCCACAGTCTTTGTTTACAGGTTACTGGTCTCACGAGACAGTGGCAGAATGAAGTAGCTGTAAGAGAGACTGGGGGTGGGGGGTGCTGCAAAGCCTGAAATATTTACCACAGGCTTAGCCCTGGACAGAAAGTTTTGCCCATCTCTAGTCTAAAACTTTGTGCCGCCTCAGTTCTAGAACGAGAAGCCACTCATTTCAGTGTGATTTTCTCCATGAATATTTTTCAGTAGAAAAGGCCCCATACTTGTTGGGGCCATTCTTTTTATGGAGCGTTCTTTACCAAGGAAATTATAATTACTTTTTCTGTGTTTAAGGAAGGGATGGGGAAAGATGTTCAGTATCACTAAGTGTCGGAGAATGCAAATTTTGATAATGCCATGGTATACTCGCCAAATTAAAAAAAAATACTGCTAAGTGCTATTGAAGATGTGGAGAAGCAGCTCTCACACTTGGTCAATGAGAGGGTCAGTTGGTAAAGCCACTTTGGGGAGCAATTAGACAGTGTTAAGAGAAGTCAAAGATGCGTGTAGCCCATATTCTGCCAGTTCCTCTGCTTGAGATATCTCCCAGCGACACTCACATGAGCATAAGGTGCTGTGTGCAGGAAGGTTCATGATAGCGTTGTTCCTTACAGTGAAAAAAAAAAAATAAGAAGAAAATACGACTGTTGATAGGAAGATGTGTAAACAGTGACATATTTATACAATAGAATATTGCACAGCAATGGAAATGAATGCCCTAAAGTTCTGTGTATTAATCTGGGTAAATCTTATAAACATTTTTTGAGGGGAAAAAAAGCATAATTATATGTACACCAAGATAGTTGTATCAGATTTTCAAACACACAGAAATGTTGTTTCCTTAGCTCTATGTATGCCATAACAGTATAAAAGAACCCATGGGAAGGATAAAAGTCATATTCAGAATGGTGTGAACCTCTTGGTATATGCAGTGTTTTAATTCTTAAAAAAGTCTGAAGTATATAAGGCAGAATGTGAAGATTTGTTAAAAGCTGGTTGATGGGTAGACGAGTGTTCATTATTTTATTCTCTTTTCTGTGACTCTAAAATACATTATTAGGATAAAAGACAAGGACTTCTCTTTTCATGGCCTTTTATCATGCTAGAGAAGTTTCAAATTGTAGCTTAGATTAATTGCTTAGGTCAAAATAGTGTCAAAGCTGATGAGTGTCCACTTGTGCTGTTTATATAGATATTATTGTGAGATGGTAGTCGGTCTTTTTGTCATATAAATATTTGCTATCAGGCCCATTCTCTATTCTAAATGTATCTAGAGAATCTGAATGAGTGGTCCTGCTAGAAAAGGCCTCATTGACATACACGCTGTCTTTGGGGACTGAGATTATTTCACAGAGCCCTACTAAATGGGGCTTGCTTGAATTTGGCCACTCTGTTGACAGAAGGAATCCTTAAGTTCTACAACCTGGAAGAATTCACACCAAAACTTGCAGTTCTGATGCCTCAAAAGTAAAGAACGCAGCTTTGCAAAAGAGGTTATCCAAGTGATCAGTTAGTGTAGGTAAAGGCACTCAACCTCACGGGTCATCAGGGATATGCAAATTGAAACCCCAGTGTGACACCACTGCACACCCATCAGAGTGACAAGAATGGAAAAGACTAAAAATGCCAGTGTCCGCTGTTGTGAGTGTAAATCAGTTCAACCAGTTTGGAAACCCGTAGAATTATCTTCTCTCTCTCCCTCTCCTATCTTATATCCAACATAAATGCTCCTTGCATTAGTCCACAAAAGACATGGACAGAAATGTTCATGGAAGCAGTATTCATAGTAACCCCAAACTGGAAAAGACTTCAATGCCCACCAACTCTAAAATGGTTAAATAAATTGTGGTATATTTACATAAAAAATTTGATACAGCCACAAGAATGAATGAACTACAGCCATATGCAGTAATAGGACCCAAATCTCACAGTCACGGTGTGGACTTTTTTTTTTTTTTTTTTTTTGCATGGCTTACTTTTATTTTTTATTATAAAAAACACATACAAGAGTTTTAAGAAATGATGAATATATGACAAATCAGAACCACGGTGAGTTATTAAACCCATTTTCTATGTACAAATACTAAAATTCCGAAAGTGGAATAAAGCCGGACAGTAAAGTATGCAAACTATATGTGTATATTTATATGGCTAGGCAAAAGTGATCTGTGGTATTGGGAGTCAGGGTGGGGTTGCCCAGCTGGGGAGTGACGAAAAGGGGATTCGGGGGCAACTGGTAATACGCTCTTTCTTGATCTGGGTACTGGTTACCCCGTTGGGTTTTGTTTGTAAAAATTCGTTGATCTGTACACTTAAGATTGTTGCACTTTTCGGTATTTAAGTTTTACTTTAATTAAAAGTTAAAATATTGCCAGTAAAAATCCAATTATTAATTTTTTTTTAAGTTTAAAAGCTGAGTAGTCACTGCTGACATTTAACAACTGCCTGAGCTAGTGTGAGTCCAGACCAATACACAGGATCCTTCTATTAGTTGTTCTGTTTGGTTTCAGATCAGGATCAGGTAGTCAGAGTTAGTCATTGCTAGTTACCCAGGTTTTTGTCTTCAGTCCATCTCAGTAGATGACATTAGTTTTCTCTCTGGTGATCTCACTGAGCCATTTGCTCTTGTTTAGTCTCAGTTACTTTCTTCTTTGGAGAGTGTCACTAACATCTGTTTGTTTTTTAATTAGGGCTGACAGCAGTGAATGTCTATCCAGTACCCAGTCAACTCACTTCTCTAGAACTTTCCCGGTGAGTGTGTCTCATGAGAGTGGTGCTTGTTTGATTATTAATATTTAAGAGTTAGATGTGGATACTTTGGTAGTTTTGAGGTATAAGAGATCTAATACATTGAAATATTTGGGTAGCCTAGAGAAGGGAGAAAGGATGAGTGGAGGAATACTTTTAATGCCATACCATCTATTTCAAGGGAAGGTCCTCTTGAAACAGAAAGGTGCCTGTGAATTACTCATTCTTAAAGTCTGGGAAATTATTTAGTTAGTTAATTTTTTTTAAGATTTTATTTATTTATTTGACAGAGAAAGAGAGAGAGAGTTCACAAGCAGGGGGAGAGGCAGAGGAAGAGGGAGAAGCAGGCTCCCGGCTGAGCAGGGAGCCCGATGAGGGGCTCGATCCCAGGACCCTGGGATCATGACCTGAGCCGAAGGCAGCCGCTTAACGGACTGAGCCACCCAGGCACCCCAAAGTCTGGGAATTTAGAATGAGATGCAAACAAAGAAGAACTTTTGTCTCCTTCATGGTAGTGATTTCCTTCTTGCTGATTAAATTCAGATAATTCTTGGTTTTTATTGCCTTATTTTAAAATTTTTATTCTCTTATTTTTTTTGGTATTCTTATGACCCATGTTGGTCTGATGGTCAGAGTGATATTAATTATATTCAGGATTTTATTACTTCCATTGGTGGTCAAGAACAAATATAACTGAGGTTTGCTTTCTTTCCTTTTTTTTTTTTTAAACGCTGTTGGGCATTGAGGATTCGGTGGTTGAGTTTTATAGCCTAGTGGAGAGTTTGACAACCAAACAAGCAATTATAGGGTAGCTTCTTAAATGCTGTGATTATAGAGTGATAGAGCAGGTAGAAGGTGGGTGGGGTCCTATATGGTCAGCGTCAGAGATTAAATGAGATCCTAAATGCAAAATATTAGTATGGTGCCTGGCATAAAATAGTCTTTTTTTTTTTTTTAAGAAGATGTTTTTCTTTTTTTTTTTTTAAGATTTTTTATTTATTTTTTGACAGAGAGGGACAGCGAGAGAGGGAACACAAGCAGGGGGAGTGGGAGAGGGAGAAGCAGGCTTCCCGCGGAGCAGGGAGCCCGACGCGGGGCTCGATCCCAGGACCCTGGGATCATGACTTGAGCTGAAGGCAGACGTTTAACAACTGAGCCACCCAGGCACCCCTGGCATAAAATAGTCTTTCAGGAAATATTAACTCTTAGAGCCAGGTTTCTTTTTGTTGTTGTTACTTTGTTACCATTATTATTAAGCTGTTGTTCTAGATTCCCCTCCATCCATTTCTTTCTGTCATATCTTCTCAGCAAAACCCCAGCATGGGTCAGTACTAAGATTTACCTTCTCCTCTGGGCTTGATCATTGCTAAAGAAAATCATATGGACACCACTGTAAAGTCACAGTTTCCAACCTCATCTGGAGCTTATCAGTCTCTTCTCTTGTCACGTCCTTGCAGTGTCCTGGGTATCTGCTCCACATTGCTCAGCTTCCCTCAGCTGCACCGCCCCCCATCTTCTTCACTCCAGAGCTTAGCTTCTCACTTGACTGGGAAAAGAGAGATAATCTTAGGTGATCTCCCTCAGCTTCCTCCCACCTTGCTTAAATGCATGGAGATTCATATCCATTCTCAGCTGCTTTCCTCTGTTCAAGTCCAGTGCAGCCTCTGGGCCCGGGATAGCATCCGCTTCCCTGCTCCAGACCTTGCTCTGTGAGTCACCACTTCCTCCCCTTACGGTGTGGTCAGGGTCTTCCTTTTTCTCCGTCTGCCCACACTCACACCTCTTCTGTCTTAACAAAGACAGATACTTGCAACCCCTCTAAGTCCTATCTAGTTCTTCGCATTCCCTTTTTGTCCACATTTCTCAGGATCCTCTGTTCCCATTTGTTTATCCCATCACAGCTTGCTTTCGGTCTTCTCATCTGGAACTTCTCTATATTGACACTGTTAATCCTGCTCTCTTTTCTTCACGCATGCTTTTTTCTCAGTTGCCTAATATGATCTGATTTTTTTTTTCATGCTGCTTCGACCACTCCTGTCTCCTGCGTGTACTCTTCTTCCTCAGCCAGCCTTTCACAGGTCACTTATTCCGGGTCTGTCCTTACCTGCTGCAATCTCATGTGACAAAGTCTCATTTACTCCTGTGATTTCAGCTACACTTTGGCATCGGCATCACCTGGATCGCCAGCCCAGACCTCTTCTTCCAGCCTCAGACCCATGTGTCTACTTGTGCATTAGGCATTTTTGACCTGCCCGTCTCCAAGTACCTCACACATGTGCCAAATGAAACTCCTTATCCACTCCTCCAACCCTAGCTTAGCTTGTTGTCTTGTGTCTGCTTTAGCTTTTGGCATTATCATAAGATAGTCCTATCAGATGGACACCACTTGCGACTAATATTTCCAACCTTGTTTGGAGTCTACCAGTCCTTTCTCGGGATATGATTTTTCTCCCTGGCTTTCTAGACGAGAAGCCTGAAGGTCATTTTTTATTCTTCCCTCTGCTCTACTCCCATGTCTAATTTATCTCCCAGTTGTTTTGACTTTTGCCTCCTAAATATTTCTGGAATCCCTCCCCTCCTTTCCATGTGTATTACCACCCATTTAGGCCCATACCATTTCTTGTCTGAAAATCTATAACAGCTTCCTTTTACTAAAAAAGAACCTCAGCTAGACCTCTGAGTATCCCCAGAGTGAGCTGTTGAAGGTGCAACACCGACTGTGTCTCCCCACTGCTTACAAACATTTCAGTGGTCCCCCTGTACCTGCAGGATAAAGTCACAACCTTCTAGACATGATTTAGGTCTCTCCAGGTTTTTTCTACCCCTGGGCTCCATATTTGCTGCTCTGGCGTCACCAGACTGCTTATTATTCCTCACATATATCATGCCATTTCTTTTCTTGTTGCTGCTCTAACTCATGTTGTCACCTCTTGCTTAGTATGTCTTTGTCATCTTGCGTCAGTGTACAACATTCCTCAGATTCTAACCCACATGTCATATATCTTGGGGAGCTTGCCCTGATCCTTCACTAGGCTGTTGTAACAGTATCTATGCATCTCCTACAGCACCTGCTTCTTTCTGCCTCATTAGGTGATCTGTCCATCAATAGATCCTTTGAGCCTTAGCAAAGCTAAGTAGCATCTGAACATAGAATTTCTTGTGCTAAGTATCTGCCGGGTAGTCTGGGTCACGTTGTAAATGACTTGCAGCTTCCGCCACCACTTACCTTCTGTCCCCGCTTCCTCACTTGTATTCACTTGGTTCATTTTCTCTGCAGTTTCTTTCTCTTCTCCTCCAGTCATTCATTACCTGTGCAAATCCTACTCGTCTTTGAAAGTTTGTTTAGAATGCCACTGGTTTCATTGTCTTTCCTCACCCCATCTCTCTACTCTGTGCTTTCTGTAGTGCTCAGAGCCTCCTTAGTGTCTTCTTTGAGCGGATAGCATAATTGATCCAATATAATACATGTTCGTGTGTTTGTCTCTCTCTGCCTAGCTACAGCATTCATTGAGCACCTACTATATTCCAGGTGGTGTGCTAGGGATGCCTTGGGGAGAGTGCTCCTGTCCTCAAGGAGCTCACAGGCCAGTTAACAGATACCTTACAGACTAGTGAAATGAGTTCCACTTGTCATCTTCAGTGATGCCTTTTAATTATTTTCTGTAGAAATCTGCTAGAGTGTGTCCCTGACTGGGCCTGTGAAGCAAAGAAGATGGAAATATTAGATGTGAGCTATAATCTTCTGACAGAGGTTCCCATGAGGTATGTGTGTGTTAATGTATGTATTATGTATATATGTATTTATTTGTGTGTTTGTATGTATGTGTAATTATTTTCCTAGATTTGGGTTGCCTTTCTTTTCTTTTTTTTTAAGATTTTATTTATTTGAGAGAGAGAAGGGGAGGGGCAGAGGCAGAGGGAGAAGCAGGGAGCCCGACATGGGGCTCCATCCCAGGACCCTGGGATCACGACCTAAGCCAAAGTCAGACGCTTAATTGAGCCACCCAGGCGCCCCTTGGGTTGCCTTTCAAAGGTATTTTCATTCATTTGTTTGATAAATATTGAGTACTTTCTGAGTGTAGGGCACTGTGAAGTGCTGTAAGGAATACAGTAATGGCTAATGCATAATCTCGGCTTGCATGGAACTGCAGTAAGCGGATAGTTGGGATGACTTGTGCAAAGATAACTGTGATAAAATATAACAAGAGTTATTGGCATAGGTCAGGGATCTGATTGTGATAATAGATCATTTGTATTGGATAAGTTGTTAGGAACTGAGTAATGTTCTAAGAACCTCACTTTTATTATTAAAGCTTTAACCACCTTATTAGATAGACGCACTTACTCTCATCTTACAGATGAGGGAATGAAGGCCTGCAGCGGTTAGGTAGTTTGCCCAAGGTCACACTTGACTAGGAAATGATGGGAGCTGATATTTGAGTGTAGTCGTTCTTACTCTGAAGCCCTCACTCTTCATCATTACACTGTATGAATCAAATGTTTTAGAATTTCACAACTTTGAACAATTGGAGAAGCTTCATGAGAGATTTGCATATTTGATTTGACCTTTTACAAGATGGTGAAATTTCTGTATGTGGAGGGGGAGAGAGGGAGGTACCTGGGGTGAGGGAATGGAATATTCAAAAGCACTGAGGTGTGAAATGTGTGGGGGTCACCTAGTGGAGTCTTTAAAATAAACTAGCAGCTTGCAACACAGTAGGTGTGAACACAGCCTTTGGAATCAGACCTTAGTTCAAATTATGATACTATTTCCCACATTTAGTGTGAGAATCAAAGTCCCTTAACTCTTCTGAACTTAATAGTTCAAACGGCCTAGGACATTTTAAACACTAAATAAGTAGTAGTTTTTGTTATAATAAATTTTGTTATTTATTATAGTTAGAGTTGACCCTTGAACAATGTGGGGGTTATGGGTCCCAACCCTTACACAGTTGAAAATCCACGTGTAACTTTTGACTCCCCCCAAAACTTAACTACTAAGAGCCTACTGTAGACTGGAAGCCTTACTGATTACATAAACAGTCATGTTTTGTATGTTATATGTATTTTATACTCTATTCTTAAAGTGAGCTAGAGAAAAGAAAATCTCATTAAGAAAATCATAAGGAAAATATATTTACAGTACTCTACTGCCTTTATTAAAAAAAAAAAAATCCACATGTAAATGGACCCATGCAGTTCAAATCCATGTTGTTCAAGGATAAACTTTATTAATAAACTCACTGAATTTTTGATGCTGTCTAGACTTATAATATAAATCAATTTATTCTAGAAATTGTTTTTTTTGTTTAGATCTGTTCTGTGTTGTTTGCTTTCATTAAGTCATCTTTTCCCAAAATGACCTTATAATGACTTCCTGGTGGGTGGTGGGTAAGCATATGGTCGTGGCCACTCTGTTGGCTCAGGTGCTTGCCGGTGATGAGACTGTCTAGGATAGGCTTCTGTTAGTTTACTGATTTCAGGGAGATGGTCAAGGGCAGACTAAAAAGAATGATTTAAGGAAGTTTTTCATTTGTTTCTTTGTACTGTTGCCCTTAGAATCCTTAGTAGCTTGAGTCTCAGAAAGCTGATGGCGGGGCACAACCAGGTGCAGAGCCTGCCAGAGCTGGTGGAGCACATCCCTCTCGAGGCGCTGGATATTCAGCATAACCTACTCACCAGGCTGCCAGATACGCTCTTCTCCAAGGCCTTAAAGTAGGTGCCGCAGAATTTTTTTAGAAGAGAGAACCACTGGCAAGACAGACAGTATTGACTTGTCATTGGAGTGACCTTTGGAACTCTATTTACAGTGTTCGCTGCACGGCCCAACTATGGGTGGAGACTTACTTATATGAGTAATTTGTATGAAATCAGATAGGGCACTCTTGTATGACGCAGTAGTCCTTAACTCAAAAGTTGAAATAACCATCAAATACTGAAGAAGTTTTAGTGTTGTAAACAATGTCAAGCAGCTTGGGAAATTTCAAACAGGCTTTCATCTCTGAAAATGAATGCATTTATGACCTCTTGAAGAAAAATTATACAGCATTCGGATAAAGCTTTCTTGGGCAATTTTCAGCTTTTGCATATTGGAGAAAAGGACATATCACTAAAGTTAATTTAGTTTTTGCTTCTTGCTTTACCAGGTTATCATCAAGTTACATTCTTAATGTGCAGTGCTTTTTTACTAGCTACTTTGAAAACTGTGCATTTAAAGGTAACTTGTTCCAAAAGGTGTTATTTGCATTTTCATTGTAAATTAACAAATAGTGTGTCTTCCTGCTACTTCCTATAATCTGGTTTATCTCATGCCTATGTCACCATTAAGTGAAAATTAGTTTTAATTATAGTCTTCTGCAATATTGTCTTCAGTATAGAAATAGAGAAAACAGAGATAAGCATTAGTAATTTAACATAAGGCTATATAGGATACATACAAAAGGCATTTAGCTCGCAAGTGTTGAGGGAAATTTTCTTTTTGGAAAGTTTATATGGGATTTTAATGCGGTAACATTTAACTTTTTAATTAACATGTATTTGTTAGTAATGCATAACACTGCATTTAGCTCTTTCTTTTTTTTTTTTTTTCAAGAGAGAAGGGGAAGGGTAGAGGGAGAGAGAATCTTAAGCCGTCACAGGGCTTGATCTCACAACCCTGGGATCATGACCTGAGCCAAAATCAAGAGTTGGATGCTTAACCGACTGAACCACCTTCTTTTTTTTTTTCAAGATTTTATTTTTAAGGAATCTCTACACCCAATGTGGGGATTGAACCCACAACCCCGATATCAAGGGTTAGATGTTTAACTGTCTGAGCCACCCAAGTGCCCTCTTTGTTTTTGTTGTTGTTGTTTCTAAGTTTTTATTTTTAAGCAATCTCTACACCTAACATGGGTCTTGCACCCACAGCCCCAGGATCAAGAGTCACACATGCCACAGACTGAACCAGCCAGGCACCCCACTGCATTTAGTTCTAATGACAGTCTGAATAAAATTAGTTTACAACCTTAGAATTTGTAGTAAGGAGGCTACTTAGTAGTTACAGCAAACTGTCAATGATATTAATCTAATCCTAACTCTGCACAGAGAACTTGTGGGACATACAAAGATATACACACATACAAACTACCCTCAACAACTAAAAAGCTAATTAGGGATGTGGATCACATAATATGAAGAAGACTTAACACACAACAAGGTTAATAATAATAACTGTCTTTTATTAAGCATGTTCTATATATACCAGACACCACGCTGGGCAAATTTTTAAAATCCTACCATATTTTACCTGTTAGATTGGCGGAGATTAAAATGAATTATGATACTCAGTGTTGACAAAGGATTGAGCAAACGGACTTTCTTATATCCTTCTTGTAGAAGGTATAACTTGGTATTGCCTTTCTGGAGTTCAGTTTGACAATATATATACACAAATCTTAAAGATAGATGTATCTTTTGACCCTACAAATTCTGCTTCTGGGAATATAGCCTAAGGGAATAATTAGATAAGGACACAAAGTTGCTCATTATGATGTCTATAATAGCAAATAGTAGCCAACAGCCTGTATGCCCATTATTAGGGGACTTTCAGGGAATTGGCTAAATAAATATGATCCTGTTAAAAGTCAAAAACTTCTTTTTTTTTTTTAAAGATTTTATTTATTTATTCATGAGAGACAGAGAGAGAGAGAGAGAGAGGCAGAGGGAGAAGCAGGCTCCCAAAGAGCAGGGAGCCCGATGCGTGACTCGATCCCACGATGCTGGGATCATGACCTGAGCCGAAGGCAGATGCTTAACCATCTGAGCCACCCAGGTGCCCCAGACAAAAACTTTTCTGAAGGGTGTCTTCACAATTGGGATATTTGCGAACATGACATTCAAAAACACCTTTTCCGGGCACCTGGGTGGCTCAGTTGGTTAAGCGACTGCCTTCAGCTCAGGTCATGATCCTGGAGTCCCGGGATCGAGTCCCACATCGGGCTCCCTGCTCGGCAGGGAGTCTGCTTCTCCCTCTGACCCTCCTCCCTCTCATGCTCTCTGTCTCTCTCTCATTGTCTCTCTCGCAAATAAATAAAATCTTAAAAAAAAAATTTAAAAAAAAAACAAAAACACCTTTTCCATGGACAACAGACAGTAAAAGATGAAACTAGGTTAGAATCAGGCCACTGCAGAAGCCTGGGAATACAAGCAAGCCTGAATTCTTTCCTCTCTGCTTGGCTTGCATGAGTTGAATAAAAGGAACTTTGGTTGGGTGGATAGAATCAATTAGAAAAAAAATACCCTGAAGGAAATTACTTGTGTCACAAGTTTGGGAGCATGAAATGGCCCGTGTTCCATACTGAGATGATATGATGGTAACAAATAACTATAAAGGAAATGGTGATTTGTGTATGTTGTGTCAGTCTCAGATACTTGAATGCCTCTGCAAACAGTCTAGAGTCTTTGCCGTCTGCTGGCGCAGGCGAGGAGAGTCTGAGTGCTCTGCAGCTGCTCTACCTGACCAACAACCTCCTGACAGACCAGTGTGTGCCTGTTTTGGTGGGCCACCCACACCTGCGAATCTTGCATCTTGCCAACAACCAGCTACAGACCTTTCCTGCAAGGTAAGCAAATGCAACCATTGTTCATTTCAGACACCCATGTAGGGTGAAATCTGCATTTGCCAGCCTACCTTACAGTTATCTTACTGGGTCCTCTTGCTTTATGTTGAGCAACTTGCTGGTGATTCCACTAGTTGAATGAGAGAATCTGATTGTACCTAGTTGTTAAATATCAGTAACCAGAGAAGTCGTAGCTAAAATGCATTTAATTCTTTGTTCTAATTACTTAATAATGGTCTCAGAATTTTCAACCTATAAAAGTACAAGCTTAAGAAATACATTCTAAAAACAATTTTTTCTTTCCCTTGTCATTATAATATACTGTTGAGTGCATTAATTTATTCATCATATATATATGGCTATACCCACAAGAAAACATAAGAGAGATGATTAATGCTGTCAAAGTTGTAAACAGTGTCAGTGGATAAATAAGTATCTTCCAAAATATATTTGATAAAATTTTGGAAAATTTGATGCCAGAAAAATCCACCTATACCATGAAAGTAGTCATTAAAAATCATGTTTCCTTTTTTAAAAAAATAATTTTATCTATTTATTTGAGAGAGAGACAGAGTGAGAGAGAATAAGCAACAGCAAGGTGAGGGGCAGAGGGAGCCTGATGCAGGGCTCGATCCCGGAACTCTGGGATCATGACTTGAGCCAAAGGCAGACGCTTAACTGACTGAGCCACCCAAGTGCCCCAAAAATCATGTTTTCAAAAATGAAGACCACAGGGAAATGACATTTGATATAATTTGAGTGAGATTATGTATATCATATAAAATTATGTTTGCTATAATTTGAAATTATATGTTTGATATAATTTGAAAACAAAACTATTTTTTTTTTTAATTTTTATTTATTTATTTGACAGAGAGAGAGATAGCGAGAGCAGGAACACAAGCAGGGGGAGTGGGAGAGGGAGAAGCAGGCTTCC